GTGCTTTTTCTATTATCAGATTTTTTTGCAATAAATAATTATTGGGTAAATTACAACCACACTGAGGTATGGTCAAATTATGAAAACCCCCATCTTGTTTGGATTATTACAATCACTCCCTCAACTCCTCAAATTTAGTGGAATCTTCGAGATTATATGGAATACTATCACTTTTGTACCCGTTTTATCCCATTCTAACTTTACATTTTGAAGCAAGATGATCATAATATGTTTTTTTTGGGTTGTATATATCAGATTGTGGTGCAACATAAACTGTATTTTTACACAAAACGAGTACAAACTAAAGCACATTCCACGCAATCTAGATGATTATGTTGAATTTGACACCATAAGGGTGGAGGTGTAAGAAAAAAATCATAGTTGAGGGGGTAGATGTAGTTATCCTAACAAGAGGGTTTTTTTTGTAAATTGACTATACATCAGGGGGTGTTTGTAATTTACCCATAATTATTCTATAAATTAAAAATGAATAAATAAATAAAGCAATAGAAGAAAGTTCAAATTGTAACCATTTTGCATGAAATACTTGTAACTTGTGTGTGTGTGTTTTCTTTTCTTTTTTAATTAAATCTTGTTACATGAAATCGGTTTTATTAAGTAAATATTTTTTTGCAAAGGGCTTCTCACTAAAAATAAAAGAAAATATTAAGCAAAAAATATGATAATTATTGAAATAAATATATAAAGTATTGATTTTATTATCAGATCATTGACCAATGTAATCTAACAATTTCTTCTTGAAATTTTAAAGAACATAGGCCGAAATTTAATTGACAAGTTCATAGAAGCACATCTCAAATCGATTTGGAGATACAGTCAAAATTAGAATCGATTGATTTATATTTTATTCAATTTACAATATAAAATAGTAAGAGTGTAATAAAAAATAAATTAAAAAAAAAAGGTCCTTTTGATTTAGGTGTGTAAATAAATATAGTGAAACTCAATTTCTACCTCGTACTCATTGTTCCAAATCGAAACGTGAGTTGTTCTACTATATATTGAATATTCCTTGTCATCTTACATAGAATTGTCCACCTCTATATATCACCAAACCCTAAGAAAAAGTCAACGAATTGCAAAAACATTTCACATTGCCTATTTGAATTTTATTACAATGCCCTTTTTTCATTTGGGATGGTCAATGATGGAATGAAGCTAACAAGAAAGAATGATTTTTTTTATTTTTTTGCATGTTTATTTGATAAAGTTATAAATTAATAATCGAGATTGAATCGAATTCGACTTATTTAATTTGAAATACTTGTTCACACTCGTATGAAACTTTATGAACTCGAAATCAACTTGCCCGTTTGGATAAGCTTATTTTAAATGGTTGATGAACTCTTATATCTGACAAGTTGTTTTAGAGCTGATAATTTGTAACGTCCTATTATTGTTAGGCGATGTGTGATATTTTTTTATATACTTCCACTAGGGATCTTTAAATTGAGTTCATTTAAAGAAACTTATGTGGAGTGTGGACCTCTTGTGCCAAAGTTCAACTAGACACATAATTAAATCTCTCGATCCCGATTTTCAGTTTTATTAGACAATTGAGTAACGATATTTCATTAGTCCCACAAAAATTAAAAGAAAACAATATTTCATTAGAAAATTTTGTGTTGTTACTTCGAACCACATATTATAATTGAATTTTAGATATTCACGAGTGATCTGTTTAGATATGGGGTGGGTTATTTTTGCAGTTGGGCTGATCGGAAGCTGGGCCTAGGTCCGTGGACGAGTCTGCAAAAGAGGAATTCCGGACTTAGGCCGAAGTTAGCACTCCGATGGTCAAGTCAGTAATTTTCCGAAAATGTGTTGTGTGTAAATATGAGATGATTAATGATTTTGTTTGTGTGTATCCTTTTATTTTATGCCTCTATTTATAGTTAAATGGACAGACGACAAATACTTCTCCAATCTGATTTACCAGTCCAATCACTGTAATAAAATATTACGGACTTCAAATTACCTCTAATACAGCGTAATCCGTCCTTTCATTTCTCCAATCTGATTTACCAGTCCAATCATTGTAATAAAATATTACGGACTTCAAATTACCTCTAATACAGCGTAATCCGTCCTTTCATTGGCGGTTGCCCTTGCAAAAAGTAGGGAACACATAGAACATTCCTCTACGGCTGTCAATGGATTATACATGTATTCAATACCTCCACGTGCAGCTAGCAGGTGGGTCGCCAAGAGGATTTTGAACAACCAAACGGGAGACCAAACGAGAGGGAGCTTCATATCCCAGCATGGCCCGCCCAGCATCTCGCCTGGCAAGGTACTAGCCTACGGGCCTTTCCCTCTATATGGGCTTTCGGGGCCCTTTGGCCCTAATTGGACCGTTTGGGTTGGAATTGGTCCTGATCAACGAGGATCCTAACTAAAGAAAACAAAATTGTATTTTTTTCTTGAAAATTTCATGCTAATTTTGGATCATATCACAATAAATGAAGTCCACATAAAATATTCTATCAAAAAAAAAAAGTCCTCATAAAATACAGTCACTATTGATATCACAGGGCCTTTTTATAAGATCTCATCCAAATAAGCCTTTTATAGAGGCCCAATACTTGCAAAATGAATTATATATATATATATATATATATATATATATATATATATATATATATATATATATATATATATATATATATATATATATATATATATAAACACTCAAGTTTGATTTGTGCAGTTTTTAATCAAATTAATTTCAAACACAACTTTTAATGTTTGTAAAAAGTATTTAATTAATTAAGTCAAGATATATACTGACATACATAGATATATTATGAAAATAACTATAATATTATCGCTATAAAATCTTTTTAAAATAACTCTAATATTATCACTATAGAATTTAAAATTATTATTTTCAGCACTATAGCAAAAGAAAATCCATAATTTAGTATATAAAATCACTAAAATCAAACATTATTAAAGTATATATTTTGAAGGGCAAAAAGGAGATGCCGCAAAATAAATTTCTCTGGCATTAGCCTTTTCAGCTCTACCAAAAGCCAAAAAAAACACCACTGCCATTTGTCAGCCACGTGGCACCCCTTTACTGTATAAAATCCCATTTCTTCCCCATTTCATCTCTCCCCTTTAGAATGAAACGCACGCCATATATATATATATATATATATCACACACCGATAGATAGATAGATACAAAAATCCCCTGAAACCAATCTAGGGTTTTGCTTCACAGAAAGAATTCTGATTTCGTTGGAATTGATTAATTTAATTTAATTATTTTATTTAATTGCGATGGCGAAGAAGAGGAAATCCGATTCCACGCGCCTCGATGAGGTGGATCGTAGCATGTACACCGCCTTCTGCAGCGGCGCCAACTCCCTTTCTCAGCTATACTCTCAGGCCATGCACCAGCAGAGACTCTCGTTCCAGGACGGTGAACGCCACGCGTTGGTTCGTATCGATTGTTTTATTTATTTATTTATTTTTCCTCATTATTTGTTTGTTGGGGTTTTCGTCAATTGAGCTCTAATTTTAGTGGGTTATTCATCTTAGCCGTATACATTTGATTGCGCATGAAAAGTAGTGAAGAAATTGGGTCAATTATATGTTTTTTTTTTTTGCATTGTTATTTTCTTGAGATGATTTTCCTCTGAAGGCAAATGTAGTTGTATTTGAAAATTGATTAATGCTTTTTTTTCTTTTTTTTTCTTTTTCCTAATTGCAGGAGAAGCTTTATAATTTAATATTGAGGCAGCAAGAAGACGGTGTTCGAGTGACGGCGAATGACGTACTCGCATATGTGGAGGTTTGTCCTTCTATTCTTAGCTTATTCATCAACATCTATCACCGTTTTTTCCGTTTTCTATCACCGTTTTTAGGGTAACGTGCATTATGTTAGGGAAGAGTTCGGTTTCAGCTTTTATCGATTTTGTGTTGACTTTCATTTTCTGAATCAGAAATTTGGCACCTTAGTTATATGTCAATGTAATAACACCGTTCAAGGACTATTATACATGTTCTTCGTTGGCAAGTGCATATGATAAGACGAGTTTTCAAGGTTGTTATTTTGAGTTATATACTCGGTGATTTCTTTTCTACACATGTGCATATGAAAACCTATTTTACATAGTGCACTCAGTTTGTTAAACTTAACATCTTCGTCTTTCCTAAAAGGCTCTTTATGTTCTCCCCACTCCTTTTCTTTTCTTTCTTTAATTGCTTTTTTCATTTCTGGCTTCTGGTATCATTGGTTAAACTTCACTTTCTAACGAGTTAGTTTTGTTTGGAAGCATATGAACATCGTCATGTCAAGAAGATATATTCTCGACGTCACACAATCCGATGTTCGTGAAAAATAAAGTTTTATCATAGTCGATTAACTAAGTCGTTATAAAACAAATAGATGGCTTACTTTTGGCATCATAATTTGTTTAAGAATCCTTGTTTCGCTTGTATTTACCTCTACAAGATTCGATCTTTACTCGACATACCCCACGAATTCTAGTGTTAGTTAAGCCTCTTTAAAATCGTCCCTACATAAAAAATACTTCGTTAGAGTTTTTTTTATTGGATTGTTAGCTTGGGATTTTGAGGTGCTTAGCTATTAAATAAAGTTTTAGCCTTTGCCTTCCTGTTTATTATCGTTTATGCATGTGTATTTCCCTTTTCTTGTTTATTTTTTCCCTTTTCTTGTTTATTTTTTCCCTTTCATTTTGCCCACTCTTTATCGACAAATTTGCAGAACGAACTTGATTATGGAATTGAAGAGCCTCAGTCTCAAAGTGCATTACAGCCAACTCACTCAGGAATTCCGGTATCTTCTAGCAATTCACTGGGTCCCGCAACTGTCGGGCAAGGATTCCGTTCAGGACAGGTGACGGAACAATCTAGAAACTCCGTTTTCTCGAGTGCTCTCTCAAGTCCCGTTCGACGGAGTCTCCAACACTATCACCTCCCTCAAGGAGGTCAACAGAACAGAGATTCGAATCCACCAGGCTCGACGGATACTTCGATGGATATGCATCCTTATAGCCCTGGCAACGATTCTCCTTGTTGAAATTTTCGAGTACTTACATTCTTAGAGTTTAAAGATTTGATAGAGCAAAATGAAAAGGTGAAAAAAAATTAGTTGAAGTTGTGGTGCTAACACATGATTATTATAAATGGGAAGGTTTGAAGTATAAATAACTTTGGGTTTATCTGTCAAGTGTGTGCAATGAGGTTTTGATTGAAGGTTTGCCTAGTTTAATTTATTGTGAATTGGGCCTTTGTTTTTTGTTAATTTTTATATCTCATCTTAATATTGATCTTGTGGTTTCATGGTGTGTGTGTACTCCTTCCTTAGCCTTATATGCAATTCACCCTATAAATAATTAGAGCAAAATTCATTATTAAAATATTTATGTGACCAATAATAACAAGAAAAAAGAATTAAAAAAAAAAAAATCAAAATTCATTATTAAAATAGTTAAGTCACCAATAATAATAAGAAGAAGAGAATTATAGAAAAAGGAATAGTTAATTTGAAACCAAGAGACTAGATCAGGTTTATTCTATGCTTCACTTCACTAGTGAAATACATCGCTAAAATTCACACGTTGTAATTTTCATAGAGTGTAGCATATAAATAATCAATCGGAGACAAAGAGTAACTAATAAATTATTTGAAATAGTAATTTCTATTAATGAAACCAAAAAATAATATTAATTAATTTTACTTTAAAACAAGATTATAAATATATAATCCTATTATTACGAAAAAACCCCCGGGAGTAAAACAAAGCAGCAGCCTTTGAAATTTGAATCAAAGGTTCACTCTCACAAACCAAATCATTGAAAATGGCTACAATTATTGGGTCCCTTCTTCCTCGCGGCGGATTTAACGGAGCTAAGCCCTCAAATTCTTGCGCGTTTCGGACAAAGCCGGCCGCCTACTCAACAGCGACAACTAACCTCTGTCGTATCATCCGAGATGGACGGTTTATTGAAACCCTCACCACCACCACCTAGTGATCATCACCATTCAGATACCTCGTTTGAAGTCAAGAATATTCGGAGATTCGCCGCCGTGAGCCAAGAATGGGATGCGTCCAGGGTAAAGGGACCACCACGTACACCCCACCAAAGACGCTTGTGAAGTTGAAACTCGACGGTGGTTACGTCAAGGGCGGAAATGTAGAGAGGCCCATTACCTCAAAGGAAAAAACGAACACTAGCGACGGCGGCGGCGCTGGTGGTGGGGGAGGAGAGAGAAACATCAGTAGAGAGAGTGAGAAAGGAATTAGTGGATCAGGTGGGACTTGAGCTC